TTCGCTTTTTGTTACCCAGGCTGGAGTGCATTGGCGCGATCTCGGCTCACCGCAACCTCCGCCTCCTGGGTTCAAGCAGTTCTCCTGCCTCAGCCTCCCGAGTAGCTGGGACTACAGGCATGCACCACTATGCCAAGCTAATCTTTTTGTATTTTTAGTAGAGACAGGGTTTCACCATGTTGACCAGGATGGTCTCGATCTCTTGACCTCATGATCCACCCGTCTCGGCCTCCCAAAGTGCTGGAATTATAGGCGTGAGCCACCGCGCCCGGCCAGATGAATTTTTGTTGCTCACGGACCAGGAGGTTCCCAGCGGAGGAGCCCCAAGGGTCGCCAGCATGACTCTTGTGGCCAGCTCAACGCTTTTGCCGCCGCCTCGGCGCCGCAGTTCTCGGTGCAGAGTAAACGGGACTGGGTCTCTTCTGGTCTACGTTTGGAGCTCCGGGAAGGCAGAGTCGCCCATTCAGCTGATTGAAAAAGGGACTCAAGCGGGAAGCCAGACCGGAGATTCCCAGGCAGAAAAACACCATGAATCTTAATGCTGTTGTTTTAGCTGGCACAGTGGGTTGCTCAGATTCCAGTGCTGGGAATCAACAAGTTTCACGTCCACTCAGAGACCTAATTTGAAAGTCAGTAATTACAAAGATGACAGGTGGATAAATTTACAATGATGGGAAGAAACCAGCGTGAAAAGGCTGAGAATACTCAAAATCAGAATGCCTCTCCCTCTACAGGGGATCATAGTTCCTCATCATCAGGGGAACAAGGCCAGATGGAGAACGAGTGCGTTCCAATAACAGAATTAGGCTTCAGAAGGTGGTTAATAAGAAACTTCTGTGAGTTAAAAGAACATGTTCTAGCCCAACGTAAAGAAACTAATAACATTGAAAAAAGGTTTGATGAAATCCTAACGAGAATAGACAATTTAGAGAGGAGTATAAGTGAATTAATGGAACTGAAGAATACAATAAAAGAACTCCGTGAAGTATGCACAGGTTTCAACAGTTGAATTGATCAAGCCAAAGAAAGGATATCAGAGGTCAAAGACCAACTTAATGAAATGAAATGAGAAGACAAGATTAGAGAAGAAAGAGTAAAAAGGAATGAGCAAAGTCTCCAAGAAATATGGGACTATGTGAAAAGACCTAATTTACGTTTGATAGGTGTACCTGAATGTCATGAAGAGAATGAATCCAAGCTGGAAAATATTCTTCAGGATATTATTCAGGAAAACTTTCCTACCCTAGTAAAGCAGGAAAATACTCAACTTCAAGTAATACAGAGAACACCACAAAGATATTCCTCAAGTAGAGCAACCCCAAGACACATAGTCGTTAGATTCACCAGGATTGAAATAAAGGAGAAAACTCTAAGGGCAGCTAGAAAGAAAGGTCAGGTTACCCACAAAGGGAAGCCTATCAGACTCACAGCAGATCTATCAGCTGAAACCCTACAAACTAGAAGAGAGTGGGGGTCAATATTCAATACCCTCAAAGAAAAGAATTTTCAACCCAGAATCGCATATCCAGCCAAATTAAGCTTCATAAATGAAGGAAAAATAAAATTTTTTACAAACAAGCAAGCACTCAGAGATTTCATCGCCACCAGGCCTGCTTTACAAGATTTTCTGAAAGAAGTACCATACACATGAAGGAACAACCAATATCAGTCATCCCAAAAACTTACCAAAAGGTAAAGAGTATCTCCATAATGAAGAATCTGTATCAACTTATGGGCAAAATAGCCAGCTAGCATTAAACGACAACATTAAACTCACAAATATCAATATTAATCTTAAATTTAAATGGATTAAATGCCCCGATCAAAGACACAGACAGGCAAATTGAATAAAAAGTCAAAACCCATCAGTTCTGTGTATCGACATCCATCTCATAAGCAAGGACACACAAAGACTCAAAACAAAGGGTTGGTGGAAGACTTACTAATCAAATGGAGAGCAAAAAAAAAAGAAAGAAAAAAAGAAAAGAAAATAGGAGTTGTAACTTTTGTCTCTGATAAAATAGCCTTTAATAGTAACAAAGACTAAAAGAAACAAAGAAGGACATTACATAATGGTAAAAGGATCAATGCAACAACAGGAGTCAATGTTCATAAATATATATACACCCAAATTGGGAGCACCCAGATACATAAGACAAGCTCTTAATGACTTATAAAGAGACTTGGACTCCCACACAATAATAGCGGGAGACTTTGACACCACATTTTTAATATTCAAGAGATCAACGAGATAGAAAATTAACAGGGACATCTATGATTAGAACTCAGACCTGGAACAAGTAAACTCAGTGAATATTTATAGAATTCTTCACCCCAGGTCCACAGAACATACATTTTTCTCAGTATGACATTACACCTATTTTGAAAGTGACCACATAATTGGAAGTAAATCGCTCTTCAGCATTTGCATAGCATTCCACAGACTTAAATGAAATATTGGCTGGCTGTTTGTTTGTTATTTTCTTCCCTTATTCCTTCCTGTCTCTGCTGTTAAGCACAATTATCGGCATAAAAGAGGTTTTCAACACCTATTTTTAGATTGCATTCCAGCCTGGGCAATAGAGCAAGATTCCTGTTCTCTCTCTCCCTTTCTCTTTCTTTCTTT